TAGAAGAGTCAATCTATGGTGGATCTTACGTAGATTTGAAAAAAAAACAAAATAATTATCAATACAATAGACTTATCCAAAAACGAAGGCATAATAAATAACGCTATTATGAAACCATACGTAAATTTATTATCATTCGTGAAAGTAAATAATTCCTTAGCTAAATTAAATCTATTTATAAAGAATTAAATCGATTAGCAGAACAATACAATGCGATAAACATTGTAATAAGTATCGAATATGAAGTTAATAATATAGATAAACTGAACCAAGCATTTTTCGATGATGCTAAAAAATTCAACCCGATTAAAGTCGACATTAACACTACAAAACAAGTGTCTTTTGATTCGTATAGCTCATATAATTCATCGACTTTAGAAGAACGTGACATAGAATTTCCACTTTTAGGTGGAAATGGCATAAGTCACGGTAATGGCACCTGTACTGCAGGTTTCTGGGTGCGTTCTGGAGATTCGTTTTACCTTACAACATGCGGACATTGTACATTATTTGGTCCTATTCGTGAAGACGGATATATTCATTTTTTTCATATACCATGGAATGAATCTGATGCCTTAACTGAAAATTATGTTGGACCAATGGTGATGTACACTATGCAGGAATCTGATTGGGGATTCGTCTTGAAATCAAATTTTAGTAAATTCAAACCCAGCGCATTTATAAGAAATTCAGATCTTCAATTGTACCCAGAATTAGGAATTGCCGATTATATTATGCATCCAGACGACTCTATGATTGGTTCTATAGTGTGTATTTCTGGTCATCAGTCACATCGCAAATGTGGTAAGATATTAGCTGTAAATGCAACAAGGAACATACGCAATACAAGATATAAGGGCATCATAATAACAACCTGGATGGGAGGTTATGGGGATAGTGGTGCACCTTTATTTCAGTTCACTGATGTACTTCAGCTAGGTCATCTTAGGGTTAATCTTGTTGGTATGCTCATGGGCGGATCTGTAAGTAATCGCATAAATTTTGTTGTGCCATTATATCAAATTTTAAGAGAAAATATGACTCTTATTACAATTCAAAATGCCCCGCAATAGTACTTTACAAAAAAGTGCCAAAATTTGATTTCTAAAAATAAGTCACTCAACAGTGCTAAGAATGCGCTATTAAATATAAAATTTTTGCCGAAATAGATCGGAAGAGCACAC